AATAGATTCATAGGTGATTCGCTAAGTAAACTAGTAATAGGTACGTTAGATTCGAAATTAAATTAGAATTCGCGATTAAATTAGAATTAGAATTTTGTATCCATTATTTTATTATATCGAGTATTCGATATAATAAAAATAATTTAATCAATAATTGATTTCCTATTTAAATTTCATTTTTCGGATTGTTTAAAAAAAAACGAAATTCCGCTAGAAAACCATTCAATTAACGAAATTATAAAAATCAATTACACGCGATTGTCAATTTTTCGAGAAATCATCGCAACAGTAGGAATTTCAAGTCGTTTTAAATATCGATATCTCTCGCGAGAAACGGTAAACGATTCCATTAGGAGAGGAACGAGGAGAACAGAGCGGAAAATAGAAGTCTTATGATCGGGATTCAAATGTTATGGATGGGGATTTCGCGTTAAAGGATCGATCGCAGGTGCGCAACATATAATGGAGGAAAAGGCACGCTTGTAACGGTATGGACGACGGGTGATCGATTCGAGCGAGCAGGATACGGTTCCTTCCCGGTTCGAATAAAACGAAACTCCCGTGGAACTCGGTTTTCGAGGAAAATTGATACTTGCTCGTTCGAAACGATGGCGAGGATAGCCGTGTCAATTGGAATTCTGGCTTCGAGCGGTGGAGAACAGATCGTAACCGTCGAGAAACTGGAGTCTTATGAGGCTGTTTACGATTTGCTCGACTGGTTCGGTTTCAACTCATCAAGGCTTGATATCGAATCAAACAGCAATTGAAGGAAGATGTTCGAGGGGAATATCGCGTTTATCGAATAAAGAATTAAAAAATTTATTAGGAATACGGGATTCTTATCGGGTCAACGTTGAAATTTGCATAATTAGTTGTTACATTTTGAGATGATAGATTAAATATTAAAAAGTATGGATCTTATGGATGAGAGATAGATCATTTCAAGAAAAGTCACGTTGCTTAATTACGTTACATAAGATTCAGAGGAAAAATATCACCGATCGAATCGCCAATCTATTATTTTATTACGTTTTTGAATGATTAGAATGTGAAAAATAATTTAATAAATAAATAGTCTCGTTTGTAAGTCTAATTTTTTTTTACTCTCACGCAAGAAGAAGAGGAAGAAGAAGAAGAATTTTTAGGATGAAGGTGTCTCGTTATACGGAAATCTATCACGTACCAAACCATTAGGTATTTCGATCTCTTATCTCGAAACAGAAGTTGCGATGCGAACGAAGAGATTTATTAACTGGAAGCCAGTTACCAGGTGTGTGGATCGACGAAACAATGAAGGTGGCAATTCATTTGCGAAATGGCACATGGAAAAGGAGATGAAGAGTTGGCGGTCGGGGCCAAAATCATCCGGTCGGGGATTCGTTATTAATGGTTATTTCGCGTGGCGAATCGTCGACCGATCTCGCGATCGCCAAGTAGATACAGACGTGCATTGTTCGGACGGCCAGCTTCCTGTGCAACACACAGGCAAACGAAACGAAAGTACTTACACACACGCCGGCTCAAATTACGCTCAGAAGAGCGTGCTTAGACTTAGGGAAAAAGAAAGAGCGAGACGATGAAAAAGGAGACGAAGATGTAACAGATGAATAAAGAGAAAGAAGGAGATGGTATAAGATCTGGTGGTATGGACGTCCAACGAGATTTATCGTTGCGTAGATGCCGATGATGTAGATTAAAATAAACAGTTATAATATCCGATCCTCGCGGCCTGTGGAAAAAGGAAAGGGGAATGGAGGGGGTAGGAAAAAGGCGAGCAGATAGCTTAACCATGCGAAATGAGATAACCGAAGTAACGTGGCTCTGTCCTATTTCCCAGGGCAGCGCGTTCACCGACAGGATCCTTCCTTTTATCTCTTAAGAATTCAATGGGCGACGAATATTCTTTCTGATAATTTAATACAATTTTACTTTGGACATTGGCGTGACAACCGGATCAACACGCTATTATACTTTTCCTCGATCCCGTTCGCGATCGAATAATACTCGTTTCTAATATTTTGATTGATTCGGATTAAAACCAGTGAAATAGCGGAGTAATATACGTATAGAGAAATTTTCATCTCGGCGAGACGAGAGGTGAATAGAGAGGAGACGAAGAGATGATGTTGCGTTTCTATTCGATAGAATGCGAATATATTTGAGAGTAAAACTGCGGAGAGTCTGCTTGGTAATTTATTTATAGATTTCTTTTTATATATCTGCATGGTATAAGACTCGTGATTATCTTTAAATCTAACTGGTTCACGGTTATCCTCTTTCTTTGGTAACCGTGTATTCCGTAAATAATCGGTTCATCATTAATTTGACGTTCAACGTAGCGAGAAATCGTTAGATCTTTTATACTCGTTAGGATAAATCGGTACAATTTTTCATAATGAAATACTTCCTGGTGTAAAATTTTCATCTTCTCGCTTTTTATCTCATTTTACCTGTCAACAAACGAACAACCAATGCAACTTGTCACACGTTCCTATTCCTCTCTTCCTGATTGCTGTTTCTCTCTCTCTCTCTTTTTTTTTATCCGATAAAAAGTGCCTCGATCACCGCTAGCCACGACACGCACGAGCACGCAAATTTCGCTTATCCGACTTTTACGTTTCATTTTCTTTTACACGATATGCTCTACATAAAGGAAAAGGAAAGAAATGAAGATATCATCGAATCGTTACAACGAATTAAATCGTTGTTATTAAAAAGCTTTTTTCCAAGCTTTAATTCTTTGAAATTGAAGTAATTTTATTCAGTTAGAGATTTTTACAATTTATGAAACTTGTGCAATGGATAATATCGCTATTTGGAAAATATCTAACAGATTAAGAAGGACGAGTGTATTATTGATCCAATGATTCTCAATCTACGAATCATTTTCAATCTTCGACCGAAATTTTCCAAGAAATCGATTACTACTACTGTACCCTATCATAATCCACGAAAAAAATTTCCTCGCAAGTTGGAAAACGTACTATTATTAATTATACCGAAGAAGAAAATACTGTGCAGCGATTGCAAAAATTTTCCCCGCCTTATGGAGAAGTACAAGAGAATGAAAAGTTACTATTTCGAAGAATGATTCCGGCCATTTATTTCCCGCTTCTTTACGATCCCGCGAATTCCAAGCATAGAATTAAATTGGAAAAATCTGCCGTTAAGTGTCACCGATATCTCGAAAACATCTCGAGAATAAATTGGACGATCCTGTTAGCGATGGTAATCATATTCGAATGATATTGGCGGTGGAGGGGAAGGGGAGAGAGTGCGAAAAAGCAACGGGGAAACGATGTTGGAACGGGAAACGCATCTTTACGATTTCAGGCGAAGCTATTATGCTTCGTAACAAGAAATCCACGCTCGAAACTGTTGGGTTCGCGACGCGGTGAAAAACTTTATATTTCCTCGCGCGTGATACCGTCGCGCGGCTAATCGTGGAGGACTGGCGAGAAGAAGTTAATGAACCGATAATGATTGGGCGACGTGCGCCCGTATCCGCGGCCGAT